AATTTTCTGACGACTTTCTTTTTCCAAATCAGCTTTGGTCGTAATAGAAGGATTTAGCTCAATACAGGATTGGAGCAGTACCTCTAGACGCTTGCAGAAATCATGATCACAAAATAGACAAATATCGTTTTTTTCGCCGATTTTTACATTTTTCCTTGATTATCGTACTTGATTCGTGTGAAAAGATGAATTAGACCTGTTAAAGTTCATTCCGTTGGGTAAAAAGACAAGATTTTAGCATTTTATCATTCAAGCGCCTTGTCCGGTATATACCGGAATACGGTATTTAGTGTGGTGCTCCAATTCTTTTTTTAGTCACAGCCGTAATAGAATGCGAAATGAACTCCATTTCGCGAAATGAACTTTTCGACTACGAAATGGACATTTGTTTCTTAAATTTTGGTCTAAGTGTACTATTTAATATCATTTTTAATAACGAACAAGTGATATATGACATAAAATTACTATTTAAACAATTTTGGTAATATTTTTTTCATTATTTAAGAATGCAATCGTATAATAATGCCACATAGTTCAGTGTTTTATACATGGTCTTTCAAATATAAAGATTCTGTTTTATATCATATGTTTAACCTGGGACAAAAATATTTGTTGTCCCAGATTAAACGTAAGTGAATAGAAAAGATACCCTTTGTGACATGTCAGTTACACCATAATTAGTAAAGTAAATGTCCATTCCGTAAGCGAAAACTCTATTTCGTGGCCGAAAAATCCATTTTGTAGAGGCCTGAATATTTTTAGAAATATGACAATAAAATAGGAAAATAGTAATATTAATTGGTTCAATCTGTAGTTTTATGTCATGTGTTAACATAAATTAATAAAAATAATATAACTCATCACGGTTAAACAAACAAATGTCCATTTCGTAGGCGGTAAGTTCATTTCGCGAAATGGAGTCCATTTCGCATTCTATTACAATCACATTTTCGTTTTTTTACCGGAAAGCATGCGCGCGCACAGGATTATGGTGGAAGTTTCAGGGGGAATAACTCTAATAACTCTGAGTTTTACGAGAGTGTAATAATATTCGGATACTAGGTATCAGTTGAACACAACCAATTTATCGTTTTTTACGGTACAAAATACTACATTTATAGCATTACAAAGTGCAAGGAAATCTGGTTTACGTGTATACTGAACATGTTATGATTGATGTTAAATCATAAGAGTCATAGACTGAAGGAAAGAGCCGAAAAGTAGCGATTGTTATCAGAACAGTTCGTTGACAATTGCGATACTGTATTTTGATTTCTACTTTTATGTGATCATCGTGTAGAAATCGGCGTGAATTGATGAATTAGACGTGTTAAAATTCATTCCGTTGGGTGAAAAGGTGATATTTTAGCATTCAAGCGGCTTGTCCAGAATACGATACAGTAGACAAAAAATAAGCAAGGATATATACCAGTGTTGCAAACTGCATAAACGAAGATGAATCTGTGGCAGGTAAATTACGGGAAAACTTTTTTAATGAAGAATTGAGCTTCTGCTTAGGTTCTTCTTCTGTTTAAATCATTTTAATGCGGCCGGTTTATTTACCCGAAATCCCAAGACTACCCTAGACTACCTCAAGACTAGCTAAAGATTTTCAGCGAACAGGTTTTATAGTACTGCTAGACCTCAAGACATCCCAAGATCACCCAAAGACACTTTTACACACCCCAAGACACTTTAACTGACATGTAAATACGTCTTAATTTTACATTTTTTACCTATGTTAAAGTAGTTCTATGCGATTTCACATTTACACATTGAATCTCTCTTCATTTATTTCCCTGTATTTTTGTGTCGCCTTGAAAAGGTGACATATAGGGGTTACTTTTGTCGGCGGTGTCGGCGGCGGCGTCTGTGTCGGCGTCATCGGCGGCGTCCCCTAAAGCTTGTCCGGAGCATAACTCAGTCACTATAAGTCTGATTGACTTCAAACTTGGTATGCATGCTTCTTTCAATTACCCAAAGTGCAGTGCACAAGGACCGGTACTCTGCAGTTCTTATTTTTTGAGTTATTGCCCTTTGTTAATTTTCATACTTTAATTTTGTCCGGGCCATTTCTCTTCAACTAAAAAAGCTATGGACTTGAAACTTCATAGGATGATAAATCTCATTATTAAGAAGTGCAGTGCTCAAGAACCAGTACTCTGCACTTCCTAATTTTTGAGTTATTGCCCTTTGTTAATTTTCATACTTTATTTTTGTCCGGGCCATTTCTCCTAATGTATAAAAGCCATGGACTTGAAACTTCATATGATGATAGGTCTCATTAAGAAGAAGTGCAGTGCACAAGAACTGGTACTCTGCATTTTTTATTTTTTGAGTTATGGCCCTTTGTTAATTTTCATACTTGATTTTTGTCCAGGCCATTTCTCTGAAAGTATAAAAGTTATGGACTTGAAACTTCATAGGATGATAGATCTCATTAAATAGAAGTGCAGTGCATAAGAACTGATACCCTGCATTTCTTATTTTTGAGTTAATGCCCTTTGTTGATTTTCTTACTTTATTTTTGTCCTGGTCATTTCTCCTCAAGTATGAAAGCTATAGACTTGAAACATCATAGAATGATAGATCTTATTGATAAGAAGTGCAGTGTACAGAAACTGCTGCTCTGCACTTATTATTTTTTTAGTTATTGCCCTTTGTTATTTTTCATATTTCATTTTTGTCCTGGCCATTTCCCCTAAACTACATTGTTCACAAGGCGACACATCCGATTCGCGGAGTTCTAGTTTAAATGTAAGATTATAAATATATTCTTTTATTGTGCAATAATGAAACAATCGATCATATTCTGTTTCATAATATTGATTTTTTATATTTCATCTGCCCCACATTTCATTAGATTAACATGCATAGTCTAGTTGTTTCAGTAAAGTTAATTTTAATCAAAATATTTTTTTTATATAAAAGAGCATATCGTTAAATATTTTAGTGATGACATGCAGTTCTAAGTCCATACATAATGATATTAACAATATTTGATATACATTTGACTGTAATTTACAAGATGACACGTAATTATCATTTGTCGTAAATAATAACATTTTCCCAATTTACAAAATATATAAGTTTCTTGGGGTAGTCCTGGGACTAAAAATGTGTTTCTATCCCAGCTTGTGTCTTGGGGTATATTGGGGTGTCTTTGGGTAAATAGACCGAACCATTTTAATGAGCACCTTTATAATCTGATGGGTCCACATGCAATAAAAAGGTTTGTGTTGACACGAGTCTTGACTCCGACCACAGGAACTTGAAATTCCATCAAATAACGTTTTTTTTTATATATAGGGGTACTTTTGGATGAATCGTCAACATTGCTTATTTATTTGGTGGAATTTCAAGTTCCTGTGCCCCTACACTTCCTTTTATCCAGGGTTGTCATTAACATTTTTTGCAGAAGGCTTGTTTTGAATTTGAGGCGGTCATTTCTGTCTTTATCGTGCATAACAAAGAGTGTTTTCTTAATTTTAAGGCCGCCCATAATGCATTTGAGACAGGCATTTTGGCCTCCTGCCGCCTCTTAATGACAACCCTGGATAATTTATCACACACAACAAACATACGCTCAACTCAGGGCCTTTTTACCCTTCTTTGCTGTAGCCTGTATCAGGCTACTTCCCCAAGCCAAATTACTACCTTTTTTCCCCAAAAAAACAGTCTAAAATTCCCCTTCTGGCAATATTTCCCCTTTAACTGAAGAATAAAACTTGTAAACAAACTTTCTAGTTTAAAAATAGATAATTGAAAGCTAATAATTCAATAACCCAATAGAGGGATACCTTGATTTAATACAATTGATGTTAACTCAGAGCCTCAGTCTGAGTTTGCAACTTTCTAAAAGCAGCATGGGAAATCCCTGCTGCCTTATTTTTTTTTTTAGTGCACATGTGATTTGTTACGACAATATGGCAACCAATACAATGTCACTAATGTAAACAATGTCACAGAACAAGAAGAAAATACGATTGAGTGACGTTTGTAATTGTTTATTAAAAATTGGATGAATTGATGACCTTGTTAGTGCAAGCCCATGTGTCCGAGTAGCATAACATGCCCAACTGTTGGAAAAAGCGAGCCTAGCACATCAGTGCCAGTAATACAGTGTAAACTGATAATAATGTACCCTCTGAATCAAACCAAGAACCCTCACATGACCAACGTAAAATACTATAAATAGGAAATATGAGTTAATATAAAGGGGCAATAAATTGATCTGTAAAAAATGTCTTTGACTCATGTTGGACAGAAAGCTTAGTACTATAGTAAACCTTAAATGTGATTGGAGGAAGATATGCAAATAAATTATGATATTCCCCCCAAAATGTGTGAAAATATGATATTTTCCCCAAAAGTGTGAAAATCGCAGATTTTTTCCCAACAAAAAGGGTTAGGGCGCCTTCCCCAAAACTAGTGAAAAGGCCCTGCAACTTCATAACTGTGGAGTGAACGGCATTTACAAAAGAGAGTGAGATAATTTCATCATAAAGGTCCCCTTGATTGGTAATTGCACTCGTCTATAAAGTGTTTACTTTTAAGCTGAAATATTTACTTAAGTAGATCATTACCAGTACCTCTGGGCTTTCATGATATTGGTATAAACAATACAAAATATGCTAAAATTAATGAAGATTCCAAGAAATTACATTACATGAACAAGTTAATATTAACTGTACATTGTCACCGATGGGCGTTCCTCTGGTTTATCTAATCTGATCCCTAAACAATTTACTAGCGGTAAAGATGTTTCTGACAGTCAATAGACATTCAAGCTTATTATTATTTGTCATACATTTTCATTGTGTATTATGATAATAATAAGATACGTACATGATCATGGGAATGCCAGTTGACTACCTCATATTGCAAGTTAAACATTTGATCACTTGCAAAAATCTGCAAGTAGAACATATCGCTAAATTCTAACCCTGATGGGTATGGGTCATGTTCCCAAAATCCTGGGAAAAAAACCTGATATTTTATGTACGGGAACTACCATTCATGATTCTTCATAAAAAGTTATCTAGGTTTTTTAGTACCCCATATCAGGCCTCATAAGATTATTATGTACCATATGTAATATGACTGTTCAGTGTTGCATCTAGAATTTCAAAATTATGGGGGATTGTCACCCACTCAACTGAAAAATGTGGGGGATTTGAAAAAAAATGTGGGGGACATGCATTTACCTAACAATATGACATACCAAAACAAACTCATTTATCTTACATTAAGGCATTTTTAACAGCTATCAAACGCTTAACAACGGAAATAAAAAATAAAATATTGACGACTACTACAATACACATGCGAGATGACCAAGTCGGCTTATGCGCGCGATTTAGTACATATTTAAGTCATTGCCGCGATTAAAAACAAACATGGCTGAAGCGTTCAAGCAGCTCGTTCAAGATGCGATAAAGATGAAAAAGATCATCAGATGGGCGACTTGGCGAGCATTGACTTCATTAAAATGGGCGATCTGCAAATAATATGCGCAAATCGCGCAATCGCGCGGCCTAGATGCAACACTGATTGTTACTTACCCATCAGAAATGTAAGAAACACTGCACTGTGGTGTTATTCCAATAAGGTATTTGATGGTATGATGGTGTTTGCACATGTATGACCACCAGGTCTATGCTCGTGCTTTCAGTCCTGTTTGTTCCTCTATGAATACTTCAAAACAGTCAATGATTACAACATATTTATTTTCAAAGTATTTGCGTAATTCCATGCGCATTGTCTTTAAGTGTTTCTCTCTCTCTGGTTGTTTAATAAATTTTTTTATTACTCCACAACTCAGTAGTTTTTAAGAATAGTCTTGACACAGTTGACCGATTCCAAAAACATAACTCAAGAGGTTGGACAAGTCCATACTTAATTTCATAAAAGTCATTGTATCAGTTTGAACTTGCTTAGCACAAAACAATTTGGTAAATATTAAGTCCTATAAATTCATAAAGAAAGGGAATCATTAAAGAATGATGGTAATCCTGTACTAATCCAGATAAATGTTTCACCTTGTCATCATTGTCTCTGAAGAATTCAACATCAAATTTGTCCAATGAATTTACTGTTAACTCTAGTTTTTCAAGAAGCTTCTGTATTTTGTCAAAATGGGCAGACATTAAAAGGGCATCTAAATCTGTTTGAACCGAAACACCTGTGTTTTCATCCTCTTGTACTGCATGCTTCCCTTCCCTTAAATGGTTTGTCTCCTCAGGGTGTTCAAATTTAATCAAACGCATATACCTTGGTGCCAGGTACACTACTAGGCTTTCTTAGCTTACCTGAAAAAAAAGAAAGAGTAAAATTAAAATAAAACAATTTTCTAAAAGAAGCGACACTTTGCTTTCATATTAACAGTGATTTATATTACACTGTATATTAAGATTTATTATTTGGAATACATGTATGTTCTTAATTGCCTCAGCCGTCCATTTTCTAAGTTTATATAAATTTAAGTATTTTTTCTGCACTGACCAGTACTTGAACTTCAAAAGTGTCTGGTTGTTTGAAAATTTAATTTAATCAAGAAATTTTGTAAAATGGGATATGATTTTTTGAAAATTTAGCTAGACATAAACACCATTGAAGGTCAGGTATGCACAGAAAAAGTACTGAAATTTCATTGTACAGAAAACCTGGAAAGCACCAAAACATTGGAAAGCACTCGTATTTCTCTTTAAATGCAATGTATAAAATTAATTTATGGCTTAAGTAAGTAAAATATCATGCATACAAACACTTCATTGAAAGTGAATGTGCTGGTTAAATGATGCCGGGGTAGTAATACCAGCATTTAGTCCATGCTTTATTTCATGAATGTGATATCTATTTTCATCTAGTAAAAATTGTTTCTTCTTAACGATTATAAATGAAAAATAGGACTGATATTACAACATTGTATAATTATTATGAATTATATTTTATATACTACTTCTCTTCATACATAATTTGGGTACCCCATATCAGGCCTCATAACTAAATATTATTGTATACTGTATGTAAAATGATTGTTGCTTACCCGTCCATCCAATCCATCAGAAATGTAAGAAACACTGCACTGTGGTGTTATTCCAATAAGGTATTTGATGGTATGATGGTGTTTGTACATGTATGACCACCAGGTTTGTGCTTGAGCTTTCAGTCCTGTTAGTTCCTCTATGAATACTTCAAAACAGTCAATGTATACAACATATTTATTTCAAAAGTATTTGTGTAATTCCATGGGCATTGTCTTTAAGTGTTTATCTCTCTCTGGTGGTTTAATAACTAAAGTTATTATTTACAGTATGTAATATGATTGGCGCTTACCCTTCCACCCCATACATCAGAATGTAAGAAACACTGCACTGTGGTGTAATTCCAATAAGGTATTTGATGGTATGATGGTATTTGTACATGTATGACCACCAGGTTTGTGCTTGAGCTTTTAGTCCTGTTGGTTCCTCTATGAATACTTCAAAACAGTCAATGATTACAACACTATTATTTCCAAAGTATCTGCGTAATTCCATCGGTTATATTTCTAAGTGTTTCTCTCTGTCCACTTCATAAGTTTTTTTAATTTTAATTTTCTTATACATGACATCAATAGTTTTAAAGAATAGTCTTGACACAGTTGACCGAATGATTCCAAAAACACATCTTGAGAATAGGTTGGACATGTTAATTTTTAATTTCATTACAGTCATTGTCATCAGTCTAAACTTGCTTAGCACAACACAATTTGGTAATTTAAGTTCTATAATTAAAATTCAAATAAAAGTTGTACTATCAAAAAATCAACCACATAAATGTTTCACCCTGTCATCATTGTCTCTGAAGAATTCAACATCAAATTTGTCCAATGAATTTACTAATTCAGTGATTTTTTTTCCAATTTTCAAAACAACCTTTGGCTTTCTTAAGGGGAAAATATAGTGCATGAAATCAGAAAAGGGAAAACAAATTTTAACAACTGAGAAATGAAATTTACCCACACATTCAATAAAATTTTCAATTTCAGTTCAATCTAACATGCATGGTTCATAGCAAAGGCTATCTATAGGGACAGCTTTCTGTCTTGTAGCTGATATAAGTCAGCTGCTGTCATGACGAATGTGCACAGGGCATTTTAGGGGAAAATATTAGCATTTTTAGGGGAAAGTATACCTATTTTGGGCTAGGGGAAACAGCCTTTATTTGGCTGTAAAATACAGGTAAAATCACTGACTATTAACTTTAGTTTTTCACTTTTGTTCACTTCTTAACTTCTGAAGTTCGTCAAAATGGACAGGCATTAAAGGGGCGACTAAATCTATTTGAAACGAAACACCTGTGTCTTCATCCTCTAGTACTGTAAGCTTTCCTTCCCTTACATAGTCGTCAACTAAGCTTACCTCCTCAGAAAGTTCACATTCAATCAAACACGTTTACCTTGGTGCCCAGTCAGAATTCAGCTGGTCATACAAATAGGCTTTCTTACCTGAAAAAAGTTAAAGCATAAATTAAAATACAGTCGACTCCACTTATAACAAACTCGCTTATAACGAATTATCGTTAATAGCGAACTAAATCTGACATTCCCGGCCGATTCTTTCTTTATTTTATATTAAATCACATCGCTTAATACGTACTCGCTTAAAGCGAATTTTCGGCTATAACGAACCATTTTTTCAAGCCCCAAATGATGGAAAACATTTAAATAACCTCGGTTATAACAAACTGTTATAATTGAAATATCGGAATGGGCTCGATTAGGATCAGTACATGAATAACACTATCCGATAATTAAACAATGGAATGATTGCACAAGTTAGTTATGGCTTCAGGGAATAAAGATTTTGAAAATGTTCTCACAACATAATTACCTACTTGTTACAGAAAATTTGTATTTCACATCCTCAGTTGATTGCTGTAAATACCCGATTTTTTGATTTTTTGTGTTTTCAATATTAACCAAACAATAATAAGCAAATAGCAAAAAGAAAACAAATGGTTAGAACTTCATAGACAATTAATACATGAATAAATCTATGTACCATGTACATAATATATTGCTCAATAAAATGCCCGCATTAAATAACCGCTGCAGTAAAATACTGGTTACACCGGTTACCAGTGAAGAGTATGGCCTTCAAGGCAAATTTCCCCATCCAAACAAGTCAGCAAGTTGTTGCTACTTCGCTTTTAGCAAATTTCGGATATAACGAACGATATTTTAATGTCCCATTGAGTTTGTTATAAGCGGAGTCGACTGTAAAACTATTTTTTTTTAACAAGAATTGACACTTTGCTTTCATATTAACAGTTGTTTTTTTAATATATACAGTATTTTCATTACTAGGAATAATTTCCTAATTGGGCCCAAAAAAAATAATTGTTTGTTTAGGGTAACCTTCCCAAAATTGCTAGGTAGGGTAGGTAGGGATTTTTTTTGATTTTTTTTATTTATTTTTTTTCAAAATCAGTCGTAAGTTCAGAGTGTTTTCTTGCACATGGCAGTCTTTCCTACACTACTGACATTGCCTGACTTTGTATTATCATATTTTATCATATAAACAATACTTCTTAGCTTTAATGCCATTTAATGTTATTTCAATATTTAATAAAGACAATATACCCAAACATGTGTTAATTCTGATGTTTGTTTGCTACAGGCACTACTTTAAAGTTTGACTCTAATCTGAACAGCAAACAGTGCAGATTCTCATCAGCTTGCATGGTTGCAATTCTGCTGATCTGAGTCTACATTGGTTGCATGGTAGGAGTTAAGCACAATAAAAGAGCTAAAATGACATGCTGTGATCTGGCTTTCAAAGTTTTAGTTAAAAAATCTAGACTTATTCTGTTTTTCACTATTTGATATTCGTGCATTAAATACTGCACATTTCATTGAATTAACAATTGTAGAGCTGACGTCTTGAAGCTCTTACAGTATAACAAAGTTTATATTTTGACACTATGGTACAATTTAACAAAATCTATAATTTTGAAATGCAATTTTGATAAACTGGTTCTCATAAAAAGTGCAAACACTTCTATTTGTAAAATGACACCCTTGTCAATCAAATACTGTTTATTTTCTATCAGATACAACATATCAACATGATACATGATCTATCAACATATCAAAGACAATAGCCAAGCTTATTGTTGAATTGGAATTTTGTAGATGTCATTCAAAGTGTCGTCTAATAGTATCCATGGCCCATCTGAAAAAAAGCAAAGACTAGATCTCAATAACACATGGAAAATGGGATACATTTGTGATGGTATGAAACAAAATGGTCAGACTCCAAGTCTGGCTAAAAATTTGTTTCAGTAGTATGCAAAAGAGGATGAAAAATATACTGGAAAAGCTTTGCAGGTCTCCAGAATAGCTATGTACATATGACCTGTGGCTATACTTTATACTCAAGTGCACTTGATTTTCAGTGGGACTAGGGTCTCATTTGCCTCTAACTACTGTCTGAACTTGAACTGGTTTAATAAATTGTAACACTTTCAATTTTCCAATCAAGCTGAAATGTGTAACTTCAGTGTTTTTTTCACCCTTTTCATTTTAATGTTACTGTTTTAATATTCATTTTGAAGTGTGGCCGTTGTGGCACAGGACATATCAAAACATCTTTTCAAATTTTTAAATATTAAAAGCAATAAAAAAAGAGTGGCATTGGTTTTACCTAAAATGTGTTTAACCTTGTTATTTATACAATAAAATATCAATATAGATCTACTAAAAAAAAAAAAAAAAAAAAAAATTCACTGACAGGTATGCAACATCCGAGTACGAAAATTATGGGTATGTTCGTTCTCGGTGTCAAAATTTTCCACCGGCAGGTAGTATCGTCGGGTTTTAGCATGAAATCAATGCAATATATATTTTTCTATCAAAACTGTCTATGAACAGATCCTTATTTTCACGTAAATTACCACAGTAAAGCCAGAAAGTCAGAAATCACCCAGGTCCGAAAGATGAGACCGTCATGACATGTACATTATTTGTAGCCTGGTATTTACGCATGAAATACTACATCAACAAAGAGATCAAACGGGTCGAACACACATGCAAACAACTGGATTTTACATACTTTTAAATAGTTTTATCCTCCACGAGTGGCACAAAGTCCTTTGTGCCTGTATTCTAAGAAAAACTCTACATGTAAAAGAAATTCCTATCGGAAGTGTTCTCCTGCAACCCGTTCCGCTCTATGTCAATGTATGTAAAACGGAAGCCGGAGAATACTTCCGGTAGGAATTCCCTTCTAAAAATATCGTCTACATGTAGAATTTTTGTTTCCGACAGCGTGATATTCATTGGACCGCAATACAGCACGAGCCAATCAAAACACGTATAACTAAAAATGACCGATCTAAATCGTCTGAGAGTTTTACGACAGCGTCTCAAGCTTTCAATTCTCATTTATCCGCCCTTTGAAACTATCTATTCGCAAACGAATATTTTATTTTTGTTCAGAAACGGAAAAAAATAGTTAGGGTCGGCGCATTTTTATAGGTAGGGTCGGGTTACCCGAAACAAACATATTTTTTTTTAGGCCTTAATAATGCATCAGAGCCAGGGGTCTGTTAAAAAATCCTTAATTGCATCAGCAGTCTGTTAAAAAACCAAGAGGGAAATGATGGCCCTAGATCGCTCCCCTGACCCATCAACCACATCCAAGCAATGTCTGCATCCTGACCAAGTTTGATGACAATGGAGTCAAAAATGTGAACTCTAGTGTGTTAACAAGGTTTTTCCATATTTGGGCAGTGTGACCTAGCTTTTGACCCCAGGTGACCCATATTCAAACTTGACCTAGAAATCATCAAAACAACCTTCCTGACAAATTTCCAGAATATTTGGATCAAAACTGCAGCCACTGGAGTGTTAAAAAGATTTTTCTATTTTTAGCTCCTGTGACCTAGTTTTTGACCGGAGATGACCGGAATCGCACATCAGATTAAAGTGGACAGAATGAGAGATGGCGGAATGCGCGGAGTGCGAAATATGACAGATTTTCACAAGAGTATGTGGTGTTTTTGCAGCTTTGTGAAAAATTATACACATATGAATGTATTGATACAGTATTATTTTCAAGCATTAATATATGAAAATATGCTGATAGAACGATGCAACGCTTAATTAAACTAGAACTATCACTAAATTTGATTAATACCCCCACAAGACTGCTTCGGAAATGAGGATGTTACTAGTAACAGAATACCTTGTAAAAGAATTAAAATATAGAGTTATGGTTGTGGGCAATTAAAGATAGTTGTGGTTCTTGTATGTTGCATTTCCTTTCAATGTGGTTGGCCATTGATGAAGTTTAATTGAATTACTCTGTAATAAGTCCAGAAAGACAGAGAAAAGGAACAAAGGGCAATAACTCTATAAATACTGAAGATAGAGTTATAGTTCTTGTGCACTGCACTTCCTCTTATTGTGCTTGACCATTGTATGAAGTTGTTTTGAATACCAACCAATACGTTTTAAGTTATGCTCCGGACAAGGAAAAGTATCAAAGGCCAGTAACTCTGTATTTTGTCAAAATGGAGTTACGGCTCTTGTGCACTGCACTTCCTTTTAATGTCCTTAACAACTGTATTAAGTTGTACTGAATTCCAAACAGTAGTTTTCAAGTTATGCACTGGACAAGGAAAAGTAACAAAGGGCAAATACTCTGTAATAAGTCAAGATGGAGTTATGGTTCTTGTGCACTGCACTTCCTCTCAATGTGCTTGACCATTGTATCAAGTTATATTGAATTCCAACCATTAGTCTTCAAGTTATGCTCCAGACAAAAAAGCAATGGAAAAGTGCTTGACCATTGTATCAAGTTATATTGAATTCCAACCATTAGTCTTCAAGTTATGCTCCAGACAAAAAAGCAATGGAAAAGTAACAAAGGGCAGTAACTCTGTAATAAGTCAAGGTGGAGTTATGGTTTTTGTACACTGCACTTCCTCTCAATGTGCTGGACCACTGTATGAAGTTGTTTTGAATTCCAAAGAGTAGTTTTCAAGTCATGCTCTGGACAAGGAAAAGTAACAAAGGGCAGTAACTCTGTAATTAGTCAAGATGGAGTTGTGGTTATTGTGCACTGCACTTCCTCTCAATGTGCTTGACCATTGTTTAAAGTTATAATAACTCTGTAATAACTTTAGATAGAGTTATGGTTCTTGTGCACTGCATTTCCCCTTATTGTGTTTGACAATTGTATGAAGTTGTTTTGAATTCCAACCAGTAGTTTACAAGTTATTCCCCGGACAAGGAAAAGTAACAAAGGGCAATAACTCTGTAATTAGTCAAGATGGAGTTATGGTTCTTGTGCACTGCACTTCCTCTCAATGTGCTTGACCATTGTATGTAGTTATATTGATATCTTCAAGTTATGCTCCGGACAAGGAAAATGCAACGGACAAAAAAAAGCAATGGAAAAGCAACAAAGGGCAATAACTCTGTAATATCTTTAGATAGAG